CAGCAAAGGTTTTAACTCTTTGGAGGGCTCTAATGTACCAAAATGATGTGTGTAGCATGCATAAGTGCATGTCGGTTTTCACAGCAGTTGGAATAAATTGAAATCTAATCTCTGCACAGCTCATGAGGGACCTTTGGGAACCCTTCGTCTCTCTGGAAAATTGGGACCCGGTGAGACTGAACTCACATTACACAGCAAAAGGGCCAACAGCCTGACTCTGGAAGCAGAAAAAACATGGGGTCTGATTCTTTGCTCTGCCACAAACGAGCTGCGTGACCTTGGGTGAGACACACAACCTCTCCACGTCTGTTTCTTCATCTGTAAAGTTGGAATAAGAATGGTCGCTGACACGCAGGGTTGTCACGAGGCTTAAGAGAGAAAACAGACATGAGGTGCTCAGCCCAGGGCCTGGCACAGGTTAACTGGCGTCGCTAACCTTATTGCAAGCATATTTCGTGCTGGTTTTTAGAAAGTGGAAGTCATGTTTCCCGCACCATGGGACCATTTCTTTGTGTCAATAGATCCAGAGAACAGTCGAGCTGGAGGGACCTGAACACAGAGCAGCCTGACACGTGCTGTAGCCCAGCGCGAGCTGGTCTAACGTTCGCAGATGAGGAAACTGAGGCCCAGAGCAGTTTCACAGCCTTTGTCTAGAACTGTCTACTCCACCTCTAGGCCTCTCCCCACAGCCCCACTGCACGGTGTGGGTAACCAGGGGGCACGCCAGCCTCTCCTGAGTCACTCTGGCCTTGTCTGCTGTCTCATTTGTCCTGGGTTTGCTGGCTGCCACTTGCTGAGGCCACACAGGCCTCGGCCGTTTTGTTTCTCTTTCCTCGTTTCCCTCCTGCTAGATGGAGAAGATCACACATTGTCACCTCTTTGCCTGTTGGATGCTTCTCCGTAAACTGTGCCCCTGTTTTTATTGACGTCATCAGTGCTTTGGAACAGCGCTTGGCTGCGCTGAGACCCTCGGAAACGCAGCATCGATTTGCTTCCGGTCGCGTCCGCCTGGCCGGGAGGGGTGGGGAGTGGGCGGCTGTTTGAGTCAGTGCCTTGGACACGTTTTCTGAGCCCCTCACGCTCAGCACCAAGACCTCTCGGGCTGCGACTATGCAAATTCCCCGCCCCCCCCTTCCTCGCGGGGTGACCAGGGCCGCTCTGTGGGCCGAGAGAGGCAAGTCTAAACCCCGAAAGATGAAAATTTCCAAGAAGTCAGGGCTTTCCCATTCAGGCAAAAATTCTTGTCGGGAGCAAAGTCAAAAGAACAGAAAGTGTCACTCCTTGTGATGGCAGTGACCTTAATTAACTCTCTTTGCCGTGCAGGACCAGTGCCTCGTGTGGGGATTAATTTATGGCCTCAGTGGCCACGATCGGGCGAGACCGTGAAATGAGGGCTGGGGGCGGCCAGGGACAGCCGCGCCCCCGCCCGAACCCCAGTCCCCGGCGGAATAGGTACGTTCGGCATCATGGGCGTGTTAGCACCTGGTCTCCACTTCTAATCTCTTCTGAAAGTGGGCAGGGTGTAAATTAGAAATGGATTTGTAAATAAAACATTCGATCACAAAGGGGCAAGTCACTGGCCGGGAAAATATTGCAGTAGGATGTGATTAAAACCCCTCTTCTTTAGGCAGCCAGCAGAAAAGAGAGGCACCTTGAAAGGTTTGGTTTCAAGGAGGGATTAAGAGCCAAACCAGTTGGGCAGGCCCTGCCACGTGCTGGCCAAAAAGAGAGGGAGACATCCCGTGGTCACTGCCCCATAACCTGGGCAGAGGCCAAGGGAGGATGGATAAGATGGTTTCCTACCTGCCAGACAGGTAGGAGACCGTCAGCCTTGGTTCTAATTTCTGCTCTGGTGCCAGTTAACCAGGTAAGCAAGCCCTTCTCTGACCCTCAGTTTTCTCCTCTGTACAATGGGGATAATTACGGCTGCCTGCCAAGGCCATACCCAGCCATAGGAGCGTGATGCAAAAGGAAAAAAATCAGTAATATGGATCCTGTCTCTATTTAAAATTTTGATATTGTGTTTATTGTGGCTATTTCGCATTAATTTTGATTTTACAAAATATTGCACTTAGAATATATTTAAAAGCATTGAAACCCGAGGCTCAGAGCCTATTCCCAATAGCCAAAAGGTGGATGCAACCCAAGTGCCCATCGATGGAGGCGTTGATAAACAAAATGCGCTGTACGCGCACCACGGGACGTTATTCAGCTGCGAAAAGGAAGGCAGTCCTGACACATGCTACTGCGTGAGTGAACCTCGAGGACATTCGCTAAGCGAAATAAGCAGTCGTGAAAAGACAAATATGTATGACTCCACTTGCACGAGGCACCTAGAGCAGGCAAATTCACAGAGACAGAAAGTGGAATGGTGGCTGGGGAAGGAGAAAACGGGGAGTTAATATTTCATGGGTAGGGAGTTTCATTTTGGGATGACAAAAAGAGTTCCAGAGATGGATAGTGGTGACAGTTGCCCGGCAATGGCAGTGTACTTAACACCACTAAACTGTACACTTAAAAATGATTAAGATGGTAATTTTAGGTTATGTGTATTTTATCACGATTTTTGAAAAACATCACACTGAAATATTTATCTTGATGTCCTAGTTACTTGTCCTGTATCTGCTACTTTCCTTACTCAGGGAAGAGGATGGATAGAAAAACGCTGAGAAAGTGAAAGTGTTATGGAACATCGGAGTTTGGTGATTGTTACCCTCGCGGACGCTCAAGCAAGGAGTGAGGCGCCGTGGGTTTGGGGGCCCAGCCTCAGGCTTCAGAGCAAACCGCACTGTTGTTCTGCGGTTGGGCCGGTGGCTGCCATGCAGGGTGCAGCCTGGATGGAGTTGGTAGTGAGGCCCAGGGGACCGGCCTCCAGGCCTTAGCCAGACCCAGCCAGAGCAAGGCTGACCACCTGCCTGCTCCGGACATCCTTCCTCGTGAGCAGCGGTTGGTGGGATGTGGGGAAAAAGATGTTTTCCCTCATCAGTTTGGTTGATTTGTTTATTGGCATCCGGCTGTATTTTGCTTTGCTGTGTTGTCACGTTCTCTGCAGAAGCTGGGGCAGACGCCAGGACGTGCAGCTGTCGGCAGCCACCTCCAACTCTTTGGTCTGCATCAAGATTCTCTAAGTCTCTACCAAAAGACTTAAACTCTGGTTAGCCACATGTGTTCTGTTCAGTGGATATTCCATTCAGAAGTGTTTTGGGGGCCAGACACATAGACATCCATGGGGAAATATAAAATGCACACCAGCCTGATTCTACTAAAAGTAAAAATAATAATGAAACAATATATTGACCTCCCAAGTGGTTATTTATGGGACAAAGTCATCTCTTACTCATAAACTGTGGCCCAACTCCCCAGCTTCCTGGGACTTCCATTGCCCCATTCTCCTTTACCCGCAGTGAGTCTGCTCCCAGACTCCATCTTTGCATCTTTGGGACAGTCCCCTCTGCCACACTTCCAAGTCCAGCCCAGGCCCCCGAGATACCTGAGAAGAATCTTCATGAACCTAACCATGGCCACTGCCCAACTACTCCAGACTCATGCTTTTTTCTTCTCAATTGTTGTAGGTGAGTTGAAAGCATGAACGGTATCCTTCCCTCACTTTCCAGATGGGAACAGCTTGGGGGTAGTAGACGGGCTGACAGTTTCACTGCAGAACAGGGGTCAGCAAATATTTTCCATAAAGGGCCAAAGGGTACGTATTTTCGGCTTTGCAGGCAGGGAGATCTCTGTTGCAACTACTCACTGCTGCTGTTGTCATGAAAGCAGCCACACAATGGGCATGGCTGGGATCCAATAAAACTTTATTTATGGAAACTGAGATTGGAGTTTCATATAATTTTCACGTGTCATGAGATATTACTCTTCTTTTGATTTTTTAAGAAGCCGTTAAAACTGTAAAGACTACTCTTAGCATGTGGGCCACACAGCAAGAGGCCGTGGGCCAGCTTTGGCCTGTGGGCTGTGGTTTGCCAACCCTGCCCTAGAAGAATAAAGTCCAATCAGGACGTCTGGCGTTCAAGGCAGGGAATAAAGGATCCTATCCACCAACCACGTCTAACTACCATTTCTGAAGGCTAATCACTGTGGGGTTTTGGAAGGCAGAAGAGTGCAAATTATGGCCCTCCGCTCCGTGTGGCCCTAAGTGCCTGACTGCTAAGCTCTGCTTCCTGATGTTCCTTGCAACAAAAATCCAGCATCAGAAATCAGACACCCGTGGCTGGCTGCTTTAGCTGGCAACTGCGTGCCGACGGACTCTAGAAATAACCCCTCCTATTTTTAACACCCTTACTTAATCAGAGGGTTTCTAGTTTCTCCCCCAAACAATTCCAGGACCCATAGATACAAATTGGAATTCAGAACCCCTAAGCCACGTGGGTTCCCCGCTTGTCACCATAAAAGTCCTCAACATACCGGGGCAACACATCTTCCTTTCTCATTAGGGTCAGCCCCCCAATCCCTGGGCTGTGCCGCCAGGAATCCGAGCAATTCCTATGCAAGGCGCAAGGAAAAAGCAAGTTTTCTGAGAGCTTTTATTTCAAGCCACAGTCAGATTCTACCCAGTTAAAAATGCTTCTCAGGGCTCACTGGAGAGGGTGTATCTCGTCACCCAGAAGGAGAGAGGGGCTGGCTATTTACCCCGGAGAACACTCAGAACTGGCAAATGAGCATAGGTCGTCCCTGGGAGGTGTATAAAGGACATCTGGAGCCAGCTTATCAGAGACAACTGGCACAGTGGGGACATCTCGAGCTCCGGAGGGAGGCTGGGGCTCTCCAAACCCGGTCACCTGCCGGCCCTGCCCCCCTCGGCCTGGGCAGGTCTGGACTCGGTCCACTCGCTCTCTCTGCAGAGGAGCCTGTCGCAGCCCAGAGAAGAGCTCAGAGAGGGGAAGCAGCCTGCGACTGTCGCGGGGTGGTGGATGGGGACAGGGCAAAACTCCCGCCGCCTCTCTGGAAGGTTCTGGGCCGAAGCTCGGCTTTCCGGGGGAGGACCAAGGGCCGCTGGCGCCCCGCGGGGCTAGTGCTCGGGCTCCGCGTCCATGCAGGACTCCCAAGGGTTCCGGGGCATTCGGGGCAGGGAGAAGAGTAGCAGGGCCAGGCCGCCGAGGAAGAGGAGGACGAAGGCGGCACAGGCGCAGGCGAAGGACCAGGAGTAGTAGTACTCGATCCACACGGTGTCCTCGCTGTCGATCATGCGCTTCACCGACTGCCGCATGACCTCCACCGAGACGAAGATGCAGAGACCTGGGGACAGGCCGGGCCTCAGCGCCGCTGTCCTCAACCTCACCCTGGTGCTGCGACCACCGGCCTCCCCCGCGGGGAGCACCTGCCTCGAGAGGGGCCCTGGCGGGGGCTGCAGAGCTTGTCCCCGTCTCTCCCCGCCCGTGTCGCCTGCTCCCTGGGAAGTCTCGAGTGGCCGAGGGCGACACCTCAGTTGCTCGGGATGGACCTGCCTACCTGCGAAGGCGTAGAACATCGCCGCCGGCCGCAGCAGGTAGTCCCGCTTCTTCCCGAAGGACAGGAGGACGCCGATGGTGCCCATGATGACGAAGCCCAGGCAGAAGATGGCGATGGCGGCCGCCGAGATGCTGTACTCTGCGGACACAGGGGCCTCAGGACCCGGTGCCCTCAGCCGGGTTAGCGACACCCACGTACGACAAATTCCCATCTCACGCGGGACAAAACTGGCCCCGGCCGCCGAGAGACTGGAGCGCTCGCTCTGCCTCTCGCGGGTCTTCCCGGAGGCCTGAGACCTTTCCGGAGCAGGAACCTTCCTCCCCGCGACAGGGCAAGAGGAGGCCCTCGGGCTGTGGGTGGTCTGCCCCGGGATGGACGGGAGCCCTGTCTGCGTGTGCGTGTCTGTGCGCGTGCGTCTGCGCATGCGTGTCTGTGCGTGTGCGCCTGCGCGTGCGTGTCCGTGCGTGCGCGCACCCCCACGTGCGAGGATCTGTCAGTGCGGGTTAGTGTATAGATGTTTGTCAGTGTGTTAGTGCGTGCCAGTGTGTACGTGTGTGTCGGTATGTGTTAGTGTGTGTCTCTGTGTGTCTGGGTGTCTGTGTGTATGTGTCTGTGTGTGTCTGGTTGTCAGTGTGTGTATATGCCAGTGTGTCTGTGTGTGTTAGTGTATGTGTCTGGGTGTCGATGTTGGTATATGTTAGTACGTTTGTGTGTTAGTGTGTGTGGGGGTGTGTGTCTGTGTGTGTGTGTCAGGGTGTCAGTATGTGTATGTGTTAGTGTGTTTGTGTGTCAGTATGTGTGTCCGTGTGTGCACGCCCATGCACAGTGCTTGCAGCCATCCGAGCAAGCGCAGGCAGGGGTCTGTCCTCCCCACGATGGCCCCTGGAGCACATCGTGCCCTCCAGGTTCTGGGGAGGGATTTTTGGCCAGGGGGGAGCTCGGACTGTCCCCGTAGACTCTGCCCCACCAGCCCCGTGGCCATCACAGGATCCGGAGCTCTTGTTCCACTTCCTTAGCTCCCGTCACAGCAGCTGCCCTTGGGCTCACTGGATCTGTGCAGGCGCCCACCAGGCAATGCTGCTTTGCCCAGCTCTCCCCGGCACTGAGGAGTGGACGCCCTGGCACCTGGAGATGGAGGGGCTACTATCTTGGGACCTCTGGAACAGGGAGGTGACAGGGCTGCCACTCGAATGCACCAGGACCAGCTGCTTCTCCCCGGGCGCTGAATGGCTTTCTGGCTCAGTGGCACGTGACACAAGCCCCTTTTTGCCCCACGCCCCCCTTTCCATCCCAGCTCACCCTTCTGAGTGGTGAATTCGAAGATCTCTGAGCTCTCGCCTGGGTTGAAATGCCTGAAGTAGGAACAGTTCTTCTCTGCAAAGGAGGAGACAGCCTGTGAGTTGAGAGAAGGGGCCTGTAGCTGGGATGGAGGCTTGGGGGAGAGGGTGCGGCGCCATCCTGCTGGGCACGCAGGGGCTCTGGCTGGCTCTCTTCTCCACAAATCCTGAATCTGGGCTGAAATGTCTCTTTGACTCTTAGGACAACATCTCAGTGGGATACTGGAGTTGCCTAAGAGGCTGGGAGATCTTCAGGGAGCTGAGGCTGGATGAATCGACAGGGTTCTGAGCCTTGTAATGGAGGCCCAGGCTCTAGTCATGCGTCAGGCCGTGCCCGATATGTGATCCACAAAGGGCCAAACAGTGCCTGTCAGCCAGGCCGATTCTGCCCTCGGGGGGACACTGGGCAATGCCTGGAGACATTGTGGTGGCGAGAGGTGTGCTCCTGGCATCCAGTAGGGGGAGGCCAGGGCTGCTGCTAACATCCTACAACACAGAGGACAGGCCCCACAACATAGCTTTAACAGCCCGAAATGTCAAGAGTGCCGAAGTTGAGAACACTTCATCAAACCAAAATCCCGGGCTGTGTTTCTTACCAGAATCCAGGACCAGATTCACTGTTGGGACCTGGGAAGCAGCATTTTCCCAAAGCTTTCCAGGACATTCCGCTGCTCGGGCAGGCTGGGAACCCCTGCTCCAGGCCCCTACCAATGCCCTGCAGAGGGCTTTTCTGAGTGGCTGTCTGGATGGGCTGGGGTGCAGGTCGGACCTCCACGTGAAGGCTGGATGTGACCCTCTCGCCCTTTCATCAGGCCCTCGGGATCTGTGGTTGGAGAGGCAGCCCAGACAAGACCTCCCTGGAAAGCCACCTGGTTCCCCGCAATGGTCAGAAAAGCCACCAAAGGTCTCTGGACAGTCCGACCAAAAACCTGGATTTGATGGGAGCAGGGGAAGAGCTCAGCACAGAGAGATTCACACTGATTTAAAATATAATTTCACTTCCGTTTTCTCCTTCAGTCTCCCTCATAACTACACATACTATAAAATCAAAGCTTGGTCTTATCACGTATTGAATACAGTTTAATATTCTTTATTCCTGATTTAGGAAGTAGATGCCTGGGTTATTTTATATGATTTTATGTTTATTAAAAAAACTCAATTAGGTTGCTTTTCATTTGTGTGAGGCCCTTCATTGATTTCTTTTTCCTGTGGGTCCGTGACCCTCAACAGAAAAACGTGTCTTCCTCTAGTTTCAATGGTGTCTGGTTTGTGAATTCATTTCTTCACCTCCAGGCTACGTTTGGACGATCACAAGACAACTGATGCCTAATTTCTTCTACAAAAGCATCAGGGGTGCCAAAGTCATCACTTGCGTTGGGATGAAGGCTTCCTTCCATCTGACCTCAATCATCTACTTGCCTCCTAATCCTGTGGTCTCCTACGCTTTCCACTTCCCCCAAAGTCAGGGTGGCTGCCTCTCTTGAGGCAGAGGAAGGAAATGACCCCCGGAGATGGGGTCTGGTTTAGCAACAGTAAATGTTCCTGGCAGTAAACAGCCTTCTCTGTGGGCTTCTATATTTAAATCACTTTCCTTTTGAACCGAGTTACCTGGGGTGTCTGACTGCGGTGGTAATGTCAGAACCGATGCAGCTCTTTTCTCTCCCACAGTAGCCGGTGCTATTTTAGAGCATAATGCAAACCTCTTCTGTGTGTTAGATTATTAGCTATAGATTCCCTTGAGTCACTGCTTCAAAATGGCCCGTGCTATGTCATAAGTCTCCACGTGTCTCCCTCTGGACAAAAGAACATTTCTGTTTCATTCTTTAAGGGCCAATTTCAGTTGTCAGAATTGACTGGATTCCAGTGTATTTCACGGTCAGCTGCCTCCCCGGCTACTTGCAATCTGTGATTTAAAATCTTTCCCAGTGGAGGCCCGTGAGATAAGGGCCATCGAGGGCCTTGCTGGGGCACAGCTATTTGGCCCTTGCAGGTGGCCGAGGCGACTCTTGCAGCATTTGGGCTGTCAGCGCCATACCACACGAGCACCAGGCTCCATCTGGACAGACTGCCACAGCTGCCAGCTGCTTGGATAAAACCTGTCTTAGCTCAGACACACAGGGCTGGGTTACGTGTCTGCAGGAGCCAGGCTGTGTGCTTTTAGGGGGATATTTTTCCTTTGGTGATCCAGGTACAATGTTCCGCCTCCCCTGTCCCCTCTATGAAATGCCCCCCCATGGGGGAGAGGGGATGGGGCGGGCACTCGATGGGTCGGATTCCTTCTCAGGTCACCGGGAAGCCTCAGCTTCACTCTGACATGGCTGAACCGGGGCCCGAGGAAGGATGGGCGCCCGCATCTCCTCTCTCAGACTCAGCCCATGAGGAAGGCTGTTGTCTCCTGCCCTGAACCCTGGAGAAACACCTACTTCAGGGCCACATGGACAACACAAGCCCCTTCATGGCTCCTGGTGGCCTCCGTAGGGGAGGGGGCGCATCAGACCCAGGTCTCATTCAGGACAAATCCAGCCAGGCATCTACCAGCGTCACTCAAGAAGGGTGCAGGGTCCCATTCAGACGGGTAGGCCCTGGTGTGAGCGCCTTCCCTCCCTGCCCCGTCCTTTGAGCGGGTGGTATTTGGGAAACTGAGCGTCGAGGACAATTTAAAAAGGAAGGACATCCGAGATGGGCCCTGTGGGGGTTGGAGGACAGGGACAGTGACAGTCCTGTGCAGACCCTGTGCAGAGTTGGAGCCTGCCTGCCTGCCTGCCTGCTGCTCGGATGTCCCCTTGCCCCCACCCCCCCGGTTTCCGTCACACTTGCACAAAGCTCGGGGCCCACGGCTTTGCCTCCACGGGCTCCAGCCCCTTCTCTGGGTGGAAGGAGCAAGTGCTTTGGACAATACCAGGATGACAATCTGGACGGTAGGAGCTCTGGGGTTCCTCCAGTCTCCTTTGTCCCTGTCAATGGCTTATGGTGATTTAAATATTCCTATTTCTGTAAGACTCAGTGATCTAAAAATGTTAAGTGGGTTATTCCTTAAAAACCATGGTGAACTCAGCTCTCGCTTGACTGGCCGGGCAGTCTGGCTAAGCAAGTGGTGGAGACAGGTGTAGCTCTTCAGAACCGTGTCTAGATGCCCCTTCAGAGAACTGGAGCCAGCCGTGTCTCACTCCAAGCCGAGCTTGAGTTAACAGGGATCTTTCTTTGGTAGCTGGATCAGCTCGTAGGATGAGGGTGCCTGTGGGTTACCACCGAGACTGTGTCAGTGCACCGAGCACCGGTGGCTGGAGACTTTAACATATTAACGATAATCTGTTAATTTGTGCAAAACCAAGGGAATCGGTGCTTTAGGGATGAGAAGAAGCTGCTTATTTGCACTGATACCAGGGTTGTCTTCAGCTTTCTGATAAAAGAAGTTTTATCGCCTCCCAACAGTGGTTTCTGTGGACTGTGTCTCCTCCCACCCACTGATTGAAGAATTGTATAAAATGGGCTGCAGAAATCCCCAGGACCTGACCCAGAGCTTCAGAGCACTGCTCTTCTACGGGGATAAGTCTAGTCAGGGCCTAGGCCTCCAGCATGGGCTCACATGGGTGGTGAAGGGAGCCCCTGGAGTTCTTGGGGTCGGGAGCATCAGGCTCTTTCATACACCCCCAATCCCTGCACCAAGACTGGAGAGAAGGTGGCCTGCTAGGGAATAAGGGGACGCTGGGGCAGGCTGCTGCCTTGCCCTAAAGAGGCAGAGCCTGGGCTGGGCACAGTGTCTCATGCCTGTAATCCCAGCACTTCCAGAGGCTTGAGCCCAGGAGGTTACAGTGAGCTATGATCGCACCACTACAGCTCAGCCTGAGCGAGACCCTATTTCTCTATCTCTCTCTAAAAAAAAAGGCAGAGCCTGAAAGAAGCAACACTTCAACCAGCCTAAGGGCAGGGATTCCCTTGGGCTTTCAGACACATAGTCTTCTGTGGAAGTCCCCACACTCATTCTGGAGGCATTGGAATTGACCTCAGATGTTGATCTGGTACATGGAAGTTCTTCTAAGACTCTTCAGGGGACAGTGGAAAGATCAGATTAGACAACTCCTATACTCAGAGCCTCTGGCATTCTACCTATGGCTGAATGGGGACCTTGAGAAGTCCCTTTCATTACACGAATTCCTGGCCCACCTGCCCCCAGACTGTGCCATGTCAAGGCTGGACGCTGTGTTAACTCGGGTCAGAGGTTTTAGGAACTGTGTCTGTATGCGCAGTGGAGGGTGTGGGAAGGAACTGGAAACCAATGAGGCTCTGGACTTGAGATTTGCATGATGAACCTCTACTTGTCGGATGGTTAGCCTGGGGAAGACCATGCTTAGCGTCAGTGGGTCCTACCTGTAGAATAGGAACCTACTCACTGGGTTGTTGTAAAGTAGTAAAATGCAGTGACTAAAAAGGTGAGTGTTAGGGGCAAATGCCTGGGTGTGCATTCTGGCTGCTCTGCTCATTAACTGTATGACCTCGGTCAAATGACTCAACCTCTCTGTGATTCATCTTCTTTATATGTAAGATGGACTGATGATAGCAGTATAGATTTCATGGAGGTTTTTATGAAAATTAGCTGATGAAATATATGTATTTCATCCCACCGCCTTCTGGCCTCCATGGCTTTTGGGAAGAATCAGCTGTTATCTTATTTAGACACCCTTGTGTGTGATGAGCTGTTTCTTTCTGTTTTCAAGATTCTCTGTCTTTATCTTTCAGTGGTTTTATTATGATGTGTCTAGGTGTGGATCTCTTTGAGTTTATCCTATCTAGAGTTCATTGAACTTCATGAATTCATAGATTAATGTTTTTTTCATACTATTTGGGAAGGTTTTGGCCATTATTTTTCACATTTGCTCCTTTTTTGCTCCTTCCTCTCTTTCCCTCTCCTCTGGGACTCCCATTATACATATGTTGGTACACTTGATGGTGTCCCATGAGCCTCTGGGGTTCTGTTCATTTTTCTTCATTCTCTTTCTTTTTCTTATTTGAAACAGGGTCTTGTTCTGTCACCCAGGCTTGAGTGAAGTGGTATCATCATAGCTCACTGCAACCTCAAACTCCTGTGCTCAAGCAATCCTCCGACCTCAGCCTCCCAAGTAGCTGGAACTACAGGTGCACACCACCATGCCTAGCTAAATTTTTTTTTTAGACACGAGGTCTCACTATATTGCCCAGGATAGTCTCAAATTATTGGCCTCAAACAGTCCTCCCACCTCAGTCTACCAAAGTGCTGGGATTACATGTGTGAGCCACCATGCCCAGCCATCTTCATTCTCTTTTTCTCTCTGTTCCTCAGGCTGGCTAATCTCAATTGACCTATCTTCAAGTCCACTGATTCTTTCTTTTCCCTGCTCATATATACTATTGAGTCCCTCTAGTGAATTTTTCATTTCAGTTATCGTACTTTTCAACTTCAGAATTTCTATTTGGTCCTTTAAAAATAATTTCTATCCTTTATTGATATTCTCTATTTCATGAGCCATCATTTTCATCTTTAGTTCTTTATATATGGTTTCTTTTAGTTCTTCAGACATATTTAAAATAGCTGATTTAAAATCTTTGTCTAGTAAGTCCAATATCTGGGCTTCTTTAGGGGGTCTATTGACTTCTTTTGCTCCCTATATATGGGCCATACCATTTTAGTTCTTTGTATGCTTTGTATTTTTTAAACAATATAATGTGGCAACTCTAGAACTCAGATTCTCCCCCTTATTGAGGACTTGTTCTTCCTATTGTTTGTTTAGTGACTTTTCTGAACTAATTTTGTAAAGTCTGTCTTCTTTGTCATGTGTGACCACTGAAATCTCTGTTTAATTGGCTTAGTGGCCAGTTAACCAAGATTTCCCAAAATGCTGGAAACCAATATTTCCCAGTCTTCACTGCAGGGCTCTGTGCACATGTTGGAGCGTGACTTTAACACTCAGCTAAGCAGTGTACATCTCTGCCTTAGCCTTCACTTTCTGCTCATATGGCCTCAAGATAAGGCAGAGGTAAGAGCTTGGGGCCTTCTCAGATCCTTCCTGAGCATGTGGACAGCATTGTGTATGCACTGGCCTCCTAGATTCCTAGGAGAATATTGGAGCTTTTCCAAGTGACTTATGGACGTCTCATTCTCCAGCTTTTTGTTTAGCCTACTGTTCGTCCCAATTGTTTGGTACTGCCTCAGGCAGCCATGATGTTAAACAATTGTCTCTAATTGTTTGCAACAAATGTCCCCTGGTAGAAAAACTATTTGCCCTGGAAGAGCTCACAGTCAGTTCAAATAGAGACAGCTTTGCATGAAGGACTTCTAGGAATCATGAGACAGGTCAAATAATGACAGTTCTCTGGGAATGGGGCTTTGGAAGAAATTCAGCCCTGTTCTCTCCCCTCTAGTGGCTAGCAGGATGCTGGTGTTCACTGTGACTATGGGATGTTGGTTTCCAAGGCTACCACAGAGCTGGGGAAGGGGGAATGAGAATAGGGCAAGTTAAAATACCACAAAGCTCACTAGTCCTCCTAAGATTTGCCCATTTTTCTTAAATAAGCCCTTGCTGGATTGCTGCAATTTCTAGAGTTCTGAAAATGTTAATTTTGACAATTTTTGCCAACATTCTCATTGAATTCATGGAGAAGAAGATTTTCGAAGGTTCTTACTCTGTCATTTTTTTCTGATGTCATTCAAAGTTAATATATGTAAAGCACTTACGGCAGTATTTGGCACATACTGTTACGTTTGTGTGCCATTATTACTGTTATTGTTGTTAATGATAAATGAGAGATCATGTATGAATGCTCTTCCTTCCTCCAGAAAAGAGTGGTCCCAGGGAGCACAAGAAGGGCAGGTGGGGAACGAAAAAGACATACATTTGCAGAGAAAAGGGGAAAGGTAGTGCTCAGTGTCACAAGTGTGGGAGGTATGATTCATGGCTGGCCTAGGATAAAGAAGCAAAGAGATGATTGTGGTCAGGCTCAAGGCCAAGCAATGCCTCCTGGTCCCCTGTGGCTGGTCCAGTTACCTCTCACCAGCCTGTCTTTTCCTTGTGTGGACTCTGCTCCCTGCTTGCTCATCCACTCTGACTTTAAAAGGCAGATGGTTCCAAGGACGGGTGGACAGGACTATAACAGTGCGTCCCCACACATGGTCCCGGGAGAAGCTGCCCTGCCCCACCCTGTCCTGCCCTGCCCTGCCCAGGGGAGTTGGCTGGATGATGCATCTGTTTACGGGTGTGCCCAGCAGCTGAGGGCTAAGGAGCATGGGCATCTGGGCTATGTGATACCCTGCAAGCACATGGCCATGCTTGTCAAAGCCCACAGCACCGGGACTCAGTGTTTCTAAGACAGCTGGTTATTTATGAGTCTTTGAGGTGCCCAGTGGGGGTGAGCAAGGCTGGGACTCCCTGGAGCAAGCCAGGAAGAAAGAGGAAGCAGAGGAATGGGAGGCTGGGTTTGGGCTCGCTGCCCCACATGCAGACTGTAGGGACTTTGGGGACTCAACACTGGTGTCCTTGAAGGGTAGGTTTCAAGGAACACCTGGTCTGGAAATCAGGCGGGACCTCACACACACCCTGGTCCACTGCCACCGTGGACAGACATCTGGGAATGATCATCTAGGCGGATGGCGGGCAACAGGTGACTAGAGCCCAGGCCTCCCTTGTCCACGCAGCGCTCTTTCCTCTGACACGCGCCCTGTTCGCTGTGAATGCGGAAGGCTCCACATCTGCAGAATGGAGCTTTGGTCACGCTAATGCAGGTGCCTTCACAAGGAGCTTACCTGCGACGTGTGCTCCAGTTGCATGGTGGGAAAGGGAGGAATACGCTCAAATCACAGCAAGGAGAGGCTTTGTAACTCCGAAGGGGTCTGAGCTAAGGGAGGATGTGTCGAGGACTGACAGTTCTGACAAAAGGGCAGATGGCTCGTGTGCAGCCACCTCCTGCTTCACAGACATGTGACCCGGGCGTTGCTGCAGGCCCTGGGCTCACAGGGGCGCACGCTGGCATTCATGCTATGCCATCGCTGTCTTGAAGTTCTCAGTGATTTGGAACAAGGAATCTTGCCTTTCATTTTTTGGGGTTCTGCAAATTCTGTAGCCAATCCTGTCCACCCTCCTGCCTGACTGCTGGGGAATGTAGCTGCCAGCCCTGTGGGTCCCTTCAGCCTGAGGACACAGAGCCACCCAGTCTGTCTGTGCAGGGGGAGAGTGGCCGGGCCAGGCCCAGAAGCGCCTGGTCTGGACCCACAGTTCTTTTGTTGAGCTTCTCGTCCCACCTGCCCAGCTCCCTGCTCTGGGTGAAATGCCCCAAGTCTCAGCAAGACAGAAATAGCTGGGGACAAACGCCCTCCTCTCACAACCCAACTTTGGCCTTACGCAATTCAGACCTTCTTCCCTGGGTGGCAAGCGCTGGGTGGCTGCTCTGTTCCGAGGCAGAGAAACCTGTCTTCCTTCTCATCGGCAACTTTTCCAGGGGGACGGGGAAGGACAGGAGGCAGGGAGGGGGCAGGGGTGTGGGGACCTTACCCCCGGGCAGGGTGATGGGTCCGCAGCTCTTGCTGTCATCCATGGGAATGCGCTTGATGCAAATCCTCCAGAGGCCGAAGTGGGCCGCCTCACAGGTGCTGTTGTGGTGCTCTAGGTGGGGGCTCAGCACGGCCCAGTGGTCGGTCACCACGGCCGCCGTGGCCAGCACGATGCCCACCAGGATGCAGAAGAGGGTCACGCGGACCTTCAGTGTTTTGGTCTGGGACATGGTGGTTGCTGAGGAGTGGGTGCTCTGGGCAGGGTCCGGTGGCAGCGTCTTCTAGTGCAGGTGGCAGCCCGGTGGGGGCGGTGACCGTGGTTATCGGGCCGGGAGTGGAAGCTAAGTTTAGTGTGCCCGGCTGAGCCAGAGTGGGCTGGCCTTGGGGCTGAGGGACGCTGGGCGAGCTGAGCAGCTGCCCAGACGTGTCAGGGGCCTGAGGGAGGCTTCTATTAATGCTCGCTCCAGGCGTGTCACCGAGGACAGCTTCTGCTCTGGTTTCAGGGCTTTCTTCCCCTCTTAGAGCCAGAAATACTCCAGGGTGGGGCAAGGCGAGAAGGCCTTAGATGGTGACTTGAGACCTCCATGGAGTGGCAGCTGAGGATTCCTTAGTTGGGAGGGGTGAGGGTGACACCAGGTGACAGACAACAGGGACACCAGGTGTGTGGGAATCTGTTGCTCCGGGATGAAGGATTCAGGGCACCGCCTGGCCCGGCAGGGGACTCCAAGAAACACAGGCCACACAGTCTTCCTGTCTCATGCCGGGCAGGCTGCTCACCAGGGTGCGTGAGTGGGTTCTCACCCTGGGGGTCCAGGGGATCCAGGATCCTGCCTAGGACATCCCAGGGACCCTGCCCAGGGCCTTTCGAGCCTACCTCTCAGGGAAGCCACACCCCACCACCCGCCAAACTGCAGGAGGATTTCAGGTGGTTCCCAGCCCTGGCCTTACCCAGTTCTGACCCCACCTGGAGAACACGACTTCCTTTCCAATTCTCTTTCCGTCCCTGCAGCTGGGTCCGGAAGAAAAGCTCCACTGGGGGCCAGTGAGTCTTTAAGGCTCACAGACCGCCCTTCGAAACAAAGAACAGCTGAAGAGGACAGAGAACCCAGCTGGGCTTGACAGTTCTGTTTTCACTGTGCTGTTCTGAGTTCTGCCTGGCGTTAAAGGCGGGTAGTAACGATTCTCCAGGTATGTTTCATTCACAGATAAGAGTGTAAGTAAAAAGAGCAAGCAGGTTGATTTACAGGTGACGATTAGGAGGCTCGTGGGTGCACAGATGCAGCAGAGAATGCGTGAAAGGTCCTGCCCGCCCACCTGCCCCCAGGCTGGTACCCGAGGCCCCAGCTCCCACACCCCGCCTGGCTTGTGCCACCTCTTCTTTCTGGGCTCACTGGTGGCCCTTTGGCGTGGATCCAAGGGCTGTCGCCTGACCAGGGATAGATCCCTGCGCCGGGCAGGGCCTTGAGCTTTAAAATCTTGGCCTCAGGTTGACACAGGTTACAGAAAGACTCTACCCATGAGGGGAGAAGTGTTCAGGTGACCAGCTTGGGAATCACAGATTCCAATGTCAATAATAATAACGATAGTAATAATTTTCAATGAGTGCTCACTATCTACCAGGACTCGGCTAAGCCTTTCCATGTCATCACAGTTAATCTTCACACCAATTCATGAGGTGAGTACAATTATTGCTCCCATTTTACAGGACATGGAGGCTCAGAGACATGAAGGAATTTGTCCAAGGTCACACAGCACGTAAACGGTGAAGCCAGGTTTCAGAACCCAGAGCCCAAACTCTTAACCGGTGGCTGGAGCTGGGAGAAACCTGCAAAATCTATTGTGACAGGTAACAATGAGGGAAGAGGCGACAAGGCAGGATCACCTGGTGAACAGCACCAGCGCTGAGCTGAGGCCTCGCGTCTCCAGCACAGGCTTGTGGTCATTGCAATTCCATCTAAACTTCCGTTTTCACAAAACCAGCCTCCATGCAGGTTACACTCTCCCGAGAGCGGCACTCCCCACCTCCCCCCTCGCCCCCGCGATGTTTTCTGTCCTGTCCGTGCTGCCCAGTCCCCTCTGGTTCAGCAACTCCGCTCTCCCAGCTTCCGCTTTTCCTGGAAGCTTTTTCCGACTGCCCTGACCACAGGGGCAGGTCCCTCTCCGTGTATCCGGACCCTCCTGAAGCCCCCAGTCCATACAGGCCAGCCAGGGCTGCAGTCGCGGCTAAGTCGGGCCATGGCTTAGGCCCACGCCGGGCTCTTGCGCCACAGAGCAGGGGAAGACACACTCCCTGCCCTTGAGGAGTCTACAAACTACTGAGGTGGCCAAGACCGTCCTGGGAGGGGCTGCAGGGCCTCCTGGGACAGAGCTCACCCTGGGTGGGGGCGTGGAGTGAAGCTCTAGGCAGGACCCGGGCCCCAGTGCAGGGCGGGTGACGCCTACGTGCTGTGTCTGCCTCTGTGCAGCCCCTCGGGAGGACTGTGCCCACGGGCAGAGTTCTCAGAGTGCGATGGACACCTCTGTACACCACGCAGCACAGGGACAAATGTTTTTATTTTAAGACTTTTGTATTTTTTTAAATGTGTATCAGAAGTATCAAAACCATGCTTCCATTAATATTTTCTTGGGGCAAGACCAAATAAAAAGCATCAGCTTAAAGAAAAAGATTGGCTGGGTGTGTTGTCTCATGCCTGTAATCCCAGCACTTTAGAAGGCTGAGGTGGGAGGATCACTTGAGGCCAGGAGTTCAAGACCAGCCTGGGCAACATAGCAAGATCCTGTCTCTACAAAAAAATCAAAAAATTAGCTGGCATGGTAGCCTGTGCCTCTAGTCCCAGCTACTTGGGAGGCTGAGGCAGGAGGATCACTGGAGCCCAGGAGTTTGAGGTTGCTGTGAGCTATGATCGCACCACTGCACTCCAGCTGAGTGACAGAATGAGACCCTGTCTTTCTTAAGAAAGAAAGAAAGAAAGAAAAAAAAAGAAAGAAAGAGAGAAAGGAAGAAAAATATTATGTAAACAACAGTACAGGAGGTGCCTAGGATGCCAGCGTACCAGAGCACAGATGTTTGGGGCATACGGCTGCTAGGGAAAGTGCACGTACTTTCTGGAAGAGACATTCACGGCCCGGGATCCCAGCTTTCTTGTTGACTGTGTGCCTCGTGAGCGATGGTTCACCTTGCTGAGCCTGTTTTCTTGCTCACTCAGGAAGGAGGATCATATCTTCCTCTGGGGGGTTATTGTGAAAATTAAATGCAACGATGTCTGCGTGCCTGTGGGACACATACGCCGACAATGGGATGTATGTGGCTTCACGCCAACCCCATGGGACTTCGAGGGGGCGAAGCACCGTGGCCTGGGCAGCAACGGGAGACACCTTGTCATTGAGTGGACTGGAATGAAAAGACAATGGTGGTTATCTCCTAGCCAAGAGAGTAATAGTGTCACAGGAGCACGGAAATGCTCAGTGACCATCTCCCTAGTGACTCTCACCCTGGGAATGGCTGTGGAGGAATCTGGAATGACCGCGGTTCCAGCAGGATGGGCAGTGACGGAGCTAGGGAAATATTATATTGTGACTGTTATTGTCATTCCTTCATCCGTCAAACACTTACTGATCACCTTAGGGCTATTAACATGAGTGAGACGCAGGGTCTGTCCTCGTGGAGCCCCGGGCTGGGGGCCTCTCTTGGAGGCGGGAGCGGCCAGTAAGTTCAGGCACTGAGAGGTCACGACGGAAAAGGGGCCACTGGTTTGCACAACCGGCAGTTAAGGAGAAGGCAGGCCGTGGTGCGCTGGGAGGGACGCGGGAGTGGGGAAGGGGACACGGCACGTGCAGGCCCCTCTGGTGACGTGCTTAGCTTGGAAGGGATGGAGGGAGAGCCAGGAGGGGATGAAAGGGGGAGAGAGGTTTCTTATTTGCTGTTTTAAGATGGAAATGACTCAAACATGCTTCTGTGCTTGAGCAGGATTCTGCGGGAGGGGATGGGAGTGACCAGGGCTCAGCTGGAAGGGTTGGCCTTGGACAGGAAGAGGAGGGGATGGGAAGGGCCAGGCAAGAGACGGGCCACGGAGCAGACTGGTCTGCGCCGTCGGCGGTGTCGGGGGGCGGGGTGTAGGGGGCTCAGCGTCCAGAGGCTTCTCGGTGACCGAGGAGGGGGGCCGGGGGCTGACAGTGGGAGACGGGATGGCAGTGGCGGGGCCTGAGGAAGTCGGGAGTGTCTGACATGGCTGACGGGGTCAGGGGAATTGGGGTGCCACTGAGGGGGCACAGAGGGTGGTAGCCGGCAGCCCCGGCCCCGCGCATATACACGGGCGCTGCATTCGGTGGCTATTGCTGTTGGAACGAATTACCACAAACTTAGTGGCTTAAACAATACAAATTTGTTATCTCACTGCCCTGGAGGCCAGACGTCCAGCTGAGCTAAAGTGAAAGTGTCAGCAGAGCTGTTCCTTCTGGAAGCTCCAGGGGAGAATCCCTGGCTGGCATTTCCCACCCTGCAGACGCTGCCACATTCCGGGCTCGTGGCCCCATCACGGCCCCTCCTCTGATGCTTCTGCCTGCTCTTTCCCTTAGAAGGACCCTCGTGGTAACATTGGGCCACCCAGGTAATCCAGGACACCCGCCACATCTCGAGATTCTTAACTTAATCACACCGTCAATGCCGCTTTTGGCACGAAGGTAACAAATTCACAGGTTCCAGGGATGAGGACATGGGCGTCTTGGCACGGATTTACGAATCGCTTGGTTTTCTCTGGCGTTACCGTGCAGAGCGGGTGCTGGGACGGGGAACGTGAAAGGCAAGAGTGAAAGAGGATTGGGGCTCTTCTAGGAGGGAAATGGAGGAAAAAGAGGCCGAGGGGACCGAGGGTGCTGGCCCAGGTGAGTGAAGCGGTGACCCGCCACGGCCTGGACGGTTAGGACGGCCCTGTGACCAGGAAAGCTGACAGGTGGAAGAGCAGGTGTCGTGGGGGGAGGGCGTGACGGGATTGGGAGCACGGTGGGCTGTGGTCAGAGAGGAGGACGATGGCCCTGAAGATTACAGGGGCGTGGCAAGGGGTGACAACAAGGTCCAGGCTGGAGGTGAAGGTTGCTGGAGGTGAGAAGGCTAGAGAGCTGTGAGGCCATGGACGCCTCACAGGGTGATGGTGGCTCAGGGTGACGGTGGCAGTCCTTGGGGTATGGAGAAAGGCTTTCAGCAGAGGTGACGTCTTTGATGAGCGAGAGGGAGTGGCCAGGAAGGAACTGGGAGATGATGGTGATGAGAAAGTGTCCAGGGTGGTCAACCCGGG